TCACGAAAATGGAAAGGTTTGATATTGGTCAAAAAAGGTATGATATAATTTGTAAATATTGTGGGAAAATATATAAATATACAGGTGGACAAGGATATGGAACATTTAAACGAAAATATATAAATATACAGGTGGACAAGCATATGGAACATTTAAACGACATCTTAGGAGCAAACATCCAACCGAAACGGGAATCGATATCGGGCAACAACAAATTTCCGGGTACGTCAATCCTAACACTTCCCCTTTATTTCGTTTTAATGAAAAAACTTATAAGGAAGAATTAGGCAAATTTATTTCCGTTGAGCATTTAGCATTTAATTTTGGAGAAAGATTTGGTTTTAATGAATTTGTACAAAAAGCATGTGCTCCACAAGCAAAACGTGTTCCTAGAAATTCAACTAAACGAGTAATTAAAGATCTTGACAAAAATGGAAAAAAAGATTTACAAAACTTTTTTATGCAATTTAATGGATGCGTGCATATAGATAGTGATATTTGGAGTGATCATTGGCAAAATCATTCTTACATGGGCATAACATGTCATTGGATAGATGACGAGTGGAGTATTCAAAAAAGAGTTATTGCATTTAGAGTTTTCGATGATAAGCATACGGCAAATAATATTTATAGAATAATTAGGCAAGTTTTAAAAGAATATTATTTGCTTAACAAATTTTTTTCAATTGGTTTTGATAATGCCGTAGCAAATACCGCTTCAATTGCCGATTTAGAAAATATTTGTAAACCCGCTTTTGGCGGAAAACTTTTTCACGTTAGATGTGCTTGTCATGTTTTAAATTTATGTGTACAAGATGGTTTGAAAACTCATGATATTTTTCTTCAACCAATAAAAACGGCGATTCAATTTTTATGGAAACATTCCCAAAAAATGAAAGAATGAGGTAGATTTTGTAGAAAAAATGGCAAAAAGCCAAAAAGATTTCCAAGAGATGTTCCAACTCGTTGGAATTCTACTTTCCACTTGCTTAGTGAATCTTTAGCATATAAAGATTTATTATGTGCATTCATTTCTAATAATATACCTCAGATTAATTTATACCTACAAGAGTGGGATATTTGCCAAAAAAATTTAGATGTTTTAAAGGTTTTTAATGATGCAACTTATACTTTGTCCGGTGTTTATTATTCTACTACACATTTATTTTTAGTAGAGTGTACTAATATTGTCGGAATTTTTGATGAATATGAAAATGATGTTGAATTACAACATACTTTAGTTGCAATGAAAATGAAGTGGCTACATTATTATAGCGAAATTCCCATTATTTATTTAGTTGCTTGTGTTTTTTATCCGCGTTGCAAATTGGATGGCTTAAATGATTTTTTGCGTACCTATTATCAATGTTTACATTATGATGCGATAAATGCTACAACCATAGTACGTGAGGTTAAAAACGTAGTAATAGAAATATATCATGAATTTTATACTAAATATAATTTAGGTGATATTGGATCTTCTCAATCTACGGAGATACAAAATGACAGTACAGGTAAAATTAGTTGAGGGTACCAACTTTTATTATATAGACAAAAAAAACAAAAGGGAGTAATAGGAAATATTTCTGAATTAGAGATTTATCTAACCATTTTATTTGAGTTTACTGAATCCGAAGGTGGTACAGATTTTTTAATTTTGGATTGGTGGAAGAGGCACGCAAGCCAATACCCAATCTTTTCTCTTATTGCAAAACAGATTTTTTCAACCCCTTGTTCCACAGTTGCGGTCGAACAAGCATTCAGTGCCGGAGGTAATATTTTGGACGAACATCGTTCAAGATTAGCTCCAGAATCAGTGGAGATTCAAGCTTGTGTTGCTGATTGGATGAAGGCTCAATACCGGCAACAAGAGATAGATCGGAATAATGAATCCGAATTCTTTAACGACGGAGATACTACCACTACCGGTACCGGTACTGGAACGGGTAGTGACGATTGAGGGTAAAAGAACTATTGGAGTTGGCAAATATTTCGGGAACCCTTGTTTCTCATACCAGGTACGCCCACGTGAGCTTAGGGAAACCGAAGTATAATCCGACGACATGTGACCTCTGGTCCCCTGCGCACGAAATGCTTAGGTTTTGGGATCATTTTAGGGCATATATATTGTGCTCCTTTTTTTTTATAGATCGTTGTAACGAATTGTAATGTGCTTAATGATAATTTATTAAGTTCAAGCCCTCTCTTTCTCTCTTGTCTTTTTGTCCCCAAATTTGATTACAATTTACATTTTAATTACAATTTATATTGAATAATGTTCCGTCACCGGAACAGTAATTTTTTTATTATTTTCTTTTCTGTTTTTCCTTTTCTGTTTTCTTTCTTTTCCTTTTCCTTTTCTTTTTTTTTTCTTTTCTTCCTCCGCCGGCCATAGCCGAGGCCGGCGGAGGTCGTCGGCCTCAGGCGAGGCCGCCCTCGCCTGGGCTGGGCGAGGCCGGCCTCGCCAGTTGCAGGCGAGGTCGAGCCTCGCCAGATCTGGCGAGGGTTCGACCTCGCCGGCCTCAGGGGAGGCCGGCCTCGCCAGTTGCCGGCGAGGTCGAGCCTCGCCAGATCTGGCTAGGGTTCGACCTCGCCGGCCTCGCCAGTTGCAGGCGAGGTCGGCCTCGCCCGACACCGGGCGAGGTCGAGCCCTCGCCCGATCTGGCGAGGCCGGCCTCGCCCAGCCCAGGCGAGGGCGGCCCTCGCCCGACGCCGGCGACCTCCGCCGGCCCCGGCTATGGCCGGCGGAGGAAGAAAAGAAAAAAAAAAGAAAAGGAAAAGAAAAAGAAAAAAAACAGAAAAGAAAAATTATGAACCGGCCCGGAACCGGTTCCGAACCTGAACCGGAACCGGAACCGGCCCGGAACCGGAACCGCCATGGGCGGTTCCGGTTCCAGTTCATACTTGGCCACGAACCGGAACCGCCGGTTCAGAACCGGAACCGGTCGGTTCCGAACCGTGGCCATGACTACCCGCATAATCACCTAGCATGTTAGTGGATATGTTTAAAATCAACCCAAGCTGCCTGCAAATATTTTTTTTTGAAATAAAAGAGAAAATGTACTGAAAGGGCATTAGAGTAATCTAGTGTAACCAAGCTCCCAAATCCATAATCTTTGATTTATAAGAGTAAAGTAATTCCCCCGATACTTTACTTGGGTTTCTAATCGACCCACCAAAAAATAGATTAGTGGCGACTCCTGATTGAAACGATTTGCATGTTAAGAACTTAAACCTTAAGTCGCGAATTGGTAAGAATTTGGGAGAGCCCGAGTTAGGCCTAGACTTAATAATCCATTAGCCAAACCCCTAAATGGTGCACCGCGGGAGATTAGGTCGCGACATGTAGATAAAGAACATGTAAACCCTGTGAATAAGCGATGTGTGATACTTTAACACGGTCTTTAAATATTAAACAATATCTTCATACAATAGTCAAAGGTTTTAAAATAGTTAGCATTGATTCAACAAACTTTCGACACACAATAGACCCACATTAATAGAATCAAAATTAAATCGTCTCTCAAAATATACTTATTTATCCGAGATATCGTTAACTTAGGTCTTTGAGTAAAATTGAATATAATTAATTAGGTGAAATTGGTACTCCCTTTAGAATTATGGAATGACGTACCTTGGAATGCATTTGAAAGTTTGTACTTTCATATTATTATTCCTAAATGATCCCTGATGAGAGTGATTCATTCGGTGCTTTTATTGATGGCTTGAGGAAGAAAAGCATGGGACTAGTTACACGATGTACCCCCACGCTCGAGAACAACAAATAATGAATTTTGCTTCAATAATTAATGCACATTGCACTACGATTAAAGAAATTAAAAAGCTGAGACTTTGCTATAGAAGAAGTGAGCTTTGCTTTAAACTCATTTTATTCTACCAGATAAAAGAAACTTGGTTGATGATTTTTCCATTCAAAAAGAGAAATTATGGGGAAAATGGTTTTCTTTTTTTAAAAAGAGAAAGCATTAAAAGTTGGTTTCATTGTGACAGTAATATGATTTTTGTGTTCATATTGACAGAGTAAAAAATGTTAAAATATCGTTAAATGAGATTATAAAAAAATCTTCTGCATCATTTTATGCTTGAACAAAGGCTTTATACTTCTTGTGCTAGCACCAGATGTTTTCAAATTATAAAAGAAAGTAAAATGGCAGTGGAGTTGACCGCAACTTTGGTCGATCATCTACTCCGAGACAACAACATTATCATTGCTAAGATTTGCTTTAAGATTTCCTGTCATCTAGTGACGATATATCTTCTTCTTTTCCAAGTTTATACCAAACCAAATCTCTATTTCACTCCAGTTGCTCTTGACAATGTCTTGGCTGGAGCGATGATGGTTATCTAATTATCAGAATCACGTTGGCTTTGATTAAGGTTCGCTTGATTTAGCTAGCAGCGTAAGTCGATAACTTAGCGAACGTTCTATTTGTGTAAAATAGATGACGCTATTCAGACTCTTGAACTCTAGTTCAGGACACACTTTCTATGTCATAGTCAAGGTCCCCCGTACCCAGAACAGAAAGGTCATCACATACTTATGTCCCGCTTTGCGAAAATTCCTGTTGGTCTATGATCATTAACAGGCCGTTTTTCCTGGTTTGCTCTCCAAGATGAGCCCTCATTTTTTTCTGAATCCCTCCATTGGTCGCTGCAGACGGGGCTATTCTGTAGCGCATCTGTGGATCCTTTTTGACGAATCAGGCAATGTTGTACCGGAGGTGCACATCTTCTCCGGCCACGTAGCTCTCATCTAGTCAATGATAGTGGTTGTTGCATTGGAACGCCGAGACAGACAGCCTGTTCTGCATTCTAAGAATTATATGAGATTGGGATTGCCTTTTATCAGGATATAAGCATGTTGCATATTATGCATTATCATAAGTCAAGTTCACCAATGATCCATATATTATGCATTATCATAAGTCAAGTTCACAAACGATATTTTGAACCAGAACAATAGTATTGAGTTTTGGCCTTTACTCGGGGTCGAGGTAGCTAGGAGTGCCCGCAGGACAAGTCGACACGTAAGAGTCATTTTCAGTTGCAAAAGCTCTTGACAGGCCAAAATTAGCTATTTTGGCTCGGAAATCTTCGTTTAGCAAAATGTTAGTAGTCTTCAAGTCTCTGTGGATGATGGGTGGCTTGTAGGGGTGTCAATGGGTCGGGTCGGGTCAGGCTTTCATGATACCCGACCCGACCCGAAACCAATAGGGTCGCGCTTGACCCGCCCAAACCCGGCCCCAGACCCTGTTCAGCATACACCATAAAGCCCGGGTCGAGCCGGGCCGGGTCGGGTTTCGGGTTTTTTTTTTTTGGGGCTTCGCATAACTTCCTTCTCTAAGTTTGATATGCTTGAAGTTTGTCTGCAAGCAAGCAACCAACTCTAAGGCGTTCATCCATCTGGCTTCCGAATTCAAAAAGCATAAACAGAAATAAGCAAAAGCGAGACGTTCTTGTACTAAGTTTGTTTGCAATTTTTATTGCCGCTGCAGTGTATGTCACGCCCCGTACCCTACGAAGCGCTAACATCCCTACCTTGGTCGATTGCAGTGCGACGTCCCAGGAAGCGTCGCCGACCCAACGCCCAACAGAGAACAAGCACAAGCGGAAGCGATTAAATAAACAACCCTGACAATTATAAAATACGAGCCAAGGATAGCCAAGCAATAAACACGATCGCAGTAGAAAATAGGTACATACTTACATTGCTATAAAAACCTTTTTACAATATTCGTTTATACAACAACAGCAGTCAACACTCATAATAGCAGCCTCTAGGTCAAAAGGGTCAGTGGCTAGGGGTACTGGATGGGACTAAGACAGGCTTCAGTCAAAAAGGTGTACTCGCTTTACTTAGGAGTATTGCTAACCTAGGGACCCCAGTCCGGGTCGGACCCTGAGGACTCCTCTATCGAGCTCTCCTGGGACTCGGACTCCTCGGAATCCATGTCCTCTGCTGCATCACTCTCGTCCACCGAATCCGGTTCTAACTCAGGGTCTAAGTATAATCCCAGCTCGTCCTCGGCTCCTATTTCTTGATCGGATCCCAGTTCCTCAACCTCTCCATCCTGTTCGTGATCTACTTCCATGGCTACCGGCTCTTCTTCATTCTGGTGGTCCAAGGGTTCCGGATCAGCATACAACACTTCAGGTTCCTCAGCCTCCTCGACCATAGCAGCAGGTCCGTCCACGGTTTCGCCCTGGCTGCTCCAATCAGGCGTAGTTGGAGGATCGGAAATCTCACCACTTACCATCTGTGGGATCATGACATTATTCACGTCTACCGGGACATCAAAGGTCCTGAGCGGGGGTCCGATTGCTCTGTCGGCTCCTCGATAGCACCAAGCCACATATTCTTGGGTGTGGTAGTGCGCCTCTCCCACATTTACAAACAAAACAGCATAATATCTCACATAGGCTGCTCCATCACCACAGGGGTGCACGCTTGACGACCGCTGAATATTGTGCGGTATCCCAAAAAGAGGTGATGCCCTCGACATTCTACGGCTGGGGGTCTGAAATGTTTCGGTTTACACAACCGTGAGACGAATCTCAATGAGTTCAACCCCTAAACCTAGGCTAGGCTAGCATGCAATCTCCTGACCGGAAAATAAATATGTGAAACCATAGTGCAACAACAATCAAATAATCCTCCGACCCTGCAGGTTAGGCAGTTCAATATATAATAATCACGGCACGTATGTGGCACATATTATCACACGTACGCCAATCACATGCTCATGCACCGAGGCTCACACACTCGCATGCCAGTCCATGCATGTTCATGCATGCAAATGTCGTCGACATGTCACGTGTATTTCCCGGCCCACTGGCCCACACTGGCACACTGGCAATCGCCCAATTTATTATTTATTACGACTCGAGTCATCAATTTTTCACGGCCCGGTGCGTCTAGCCTGCTTCAAAGTGCATGAGGCGCAGCAACCGATCTGGCCCAGTGTCTCTAGCCTGCTTCAAAGTGCATGAGGCGCAACACTGTTCTCCTTGCGAACCAGAGCCTGCTTCAAAGTGCATGAGGATGGTCGCCTTCCGGACGTACCGGGCATCGTCCTGCTTCAAAGTGCATGAGGACGGTATCGGCCCGAAGGTCATGACCCAAAGGTCCTTAGGTGATCACACAACTCATTATTATCTGAACCCAGCGTATAACGCTTCAGGGTATTTTAGGTGATCACATGCTCATGGCAGACACGCATTCTCGCGCAAGTTCATCACATGCCTCACTCTTGGCATACGCAATGCGTGTCCATGTTATGCAATGCAATGCACCACGAGCACCAATATAATTCAGACACCCAATGTCACAACACGTGCTTAATTGGCCCAATTAATACCGTGTGGCCTAACGTGCGATTCACAAATCAGTAAATCATTGTAAACCAAACAATGGCCAATCGCACTCCATAAAATCAGCCACACCACATACGACATAGCAGATCGAAATCAACCACAATTAAGCATAATTGACGTACAATCACCAACCCGGACATACCCGTAATTTTCCAACGGGCTACTAAATTGGTCATTTAATCCAATTAATCTCCCCAAATAATTCTCATTAATCCACTAAATTTCCAAATGATAATTTCTACCAATCCGTCCTCAACCCAGTCTGAAATACACACTGATACTATCTAAGCCAGTCCAAATTGTACCGATAATACCTAAACCAGTCCAGAAAAACGCACTAACAGTCCTAATCCGGGTTTAGGAATTTTACTCACTTAATCCAAGATCACGACGACGAGGAACGGCGGCCGATCACTGATGAACAGTGAAACCGGCGGCGAAATTCCCGGCGGCGTGTACTGTTCACGCGGCACTGTTCACGCGGTACGGACTTGTACGGACGGGAGGAAAAAACGGTGGCCGGCGAAGTGGCAGTGACGGAACGGCGGGCCGTACGGACGGCGGCGTACGGACGCTACAGTACGACCGTAAGGACACCGTACGAACGGTGACAGTCGGCGTCGTACGGTGAGGCTAGACGGCTGGGTGGCGACGGAACGGCGATCCGAGCTCCGATGAAGGTCCGGCAAGGCTTCGACGTGGCGGCGGTGCTAAACCGGGAGAGAAAAAGAGAGAAAAAGAGAGGGAAAGAGAGAGGGAAAGGGGTCAGACGGAGGCGAGGCTCAGGCTGGGGGCTGAGGTGGTCGACGGCGAGGCACGGCAGCCAGCGGCGGCGCTCCGGTGGCCGGCGGCGGCGCTCCGGTGGCCGGCGGCGAGCTCCGGCAAGACAAAACCATGAGGGAAAAGAGAGAAAATGGGAGAGAAAGAGCTGGTGGGGGCTGCTGGGGGTGGTTCTGCCGTGAGTGAGGGTGAGAGGAGAGAGAGAGAGTCTTATCTGGTCAAACATGGCAGCCAAGGGGCGCACGTGTCGCCAATCCGTGAAAAATGACCAAAACGCCCCTAATCTAACGGTTCTAAAGAGATATGCTTAAATAATTGAGGGACAATTGGGTCTTTGGTGCCAATAATGCAGCTGATAACCATAGTTACTTATCCCAAAAATTTCCCAAAAATTCGGACCCGAAAACGGCCCAGGGGCAAAACCGTCATTTTTCCGGTCTCAGGGCGAAATTCCAATTTTCGCACATACGTGTTCCATATGTGCCTGGCCAACATAATATGGCGTCGGATTCGACAAATTCACTTTCTAAGCCCTCGAAAATCGACTGCGAAGTTTCGGGAATAAAATAATATTATTTTCCAATTTTTTGTCGAAATTCCAATTTTTGGCCATAACGACTCCTGGTATGCGTGGCCACCCAAAAATGGTGTCGGCCTCGAAAAATAACCTCATTTGGCCTCGAAAAGCAACGCTGGCGTCCCGAGAGGCAAAATCGTAATTTTTCACCCCCGGACCGAAATTCCAATTTTTACTCGTACTAACTCCAAACGTGTGTCGCCAGCGTAATACGACGTCAGATTCCCAAAAATAGTCTCTTAAGCCTTCGAAAATCGGCATCGAAATCCGGACCCAATTCCGTGAACAAAACTCGCTAAACTTTCAATTTCAGGGTCTCTCACTAACGGGCGGCTGTTTAGGATCTACGCGTATCGACCTAGGGTTATTCGACTTACAACGGTCCCGATCATTGAGAGAATGAGAAATCATCACTAGTTCCAGAGGTCGCGATCTTTCGGTTCAGGTTCAGGGCTGGTTGGTCACGTGCACTTTCGGTCTTGCAGAATCACCTGCGATCCGATTGTACATTGTTGGCCATGGCCAAACCAAATCCATCACCTTTCCTAAGATCGGCCCACGTTGGCCCAAAATATTCCCTCATCATATCTCGAGATCGGTGTCCCGTTCACTATCGAGTCCCTGGTCCATATACCGTTTCCTAGTTAGCCATACCCCATTGGTTAGTATCCCAAGAGTGATCAGCTCCGGGCGAGACTTACCAAAATGAAATGCGAAATATTGTCAATTTTATTGATCCCGGAATTACATCGAAATTCGGGCCGTTACAGTGTAATCCCCTGTGGCTAGGTTACCAGCTGAGCTCATTTCAGCAAGAAGCAATATGCCTCTACCTCGAGGCATAAAGAGATGCAAAACACATTGTTCCATTCTATGAACAGCACAAAGGCTACAAGAAAACATCAATTTAAGTGAGCATGATAATAACATCTACTATTGGCATCAATAAGTAAATAGAATAGTCTTCACAGTAACAAACAGATACATCAACCTTCCAGGAACCATTCCTTCGCAGGAAATAAAAAATTCAGATATTTCTGTCCTCTAGCAGTGCAAGTATGTGAAGCTCCAACATCCAGTTAATCAGGCACTTAACGAATAGGTTATCTATCTTCTACAAAACTGTAAATATTTTCTATCTATTAGCCTAGGGACACTGACTATCTGTTCAAAGCACAAAATGGCTGAGATAGGATATCCATCAAGAGACCGTCTGACAGAATTCTATAACAGCAAAAAAATTAACTTCAGTAACGGGGGCTGGTAAAATGGGATACAGCAAGTTAACTTATAACTGCTCCAATGATAGTAGAGTTTCAGCAATCTCCTTGAAAAGCTTAAATAACAAGATCATACGATAAGAGTGCAAAATCATGAAAGGCAGATGAAAAAAAAATTGTGTCAATTTTTCAATGATTATTCGTAATCCTAGTTTTAGGAAGGGATACCAACTGCATCAAGCATACAATATAACAGCATTCCTCATTTCCCTCATCCCCCAACCCCCAAAGGAAAGGAAAAGAAAAGAAAAGAAATCGATTCCGCTAAAGAAAGCCTTTGTCCAAGTCCCCTTGAAAATCTTCCTTTCATCAGCTCTTCTTCCTAAGATAGACAATCAACTTACTGAAAAATTGAATTTAATTGTTAGCACTCCTTCGGGTACAAAAGTTCAGTTTCTTTTTTTTTTTTCACTTATCTTTGAAGGACGGGTTCAAAAGTACAATATACATGAAATGAAGGAAGTTCCAAACCACAATGGACAAGGCTTGGCCATGATACAATATCAATAGACATCATAAACCAAGTGACAAAGCAATGTCCATGGAGTTGCTGTTCATGCGTCACCTTGGGTGGGTAATTCAGGGTTCATCATCGACGCCATTAAAACTACTGGTGCCGCAAGTGAACCCAACAAGGCTTTGTGTTCTTCCCAAAAGCCATACCTGCCGTGTCAATGTCTTCAGGACGACACACTTGCCCTTCCTTTGCGAGTCCAGATCAATATTGGCACCATCTTCCTCAGCCTCATCCTCAGGGTTCATCTCAAGAATCTTTAAGCATAATAAATTCCAATCAGAGGATAACTCAAAGCAAGAAGGGAGACAACGAGCATATTATACGAGGAACACATTATCATCACTCATCAGCCAAGAAAACACACTATAGCTATAAACTCTCGGAGAAAAGACCTCAGTCAGCCCAAATTACAAAGACATCATGCGAGACGTAACTTGCCACACCCCGAATTTTCAACAGAGATTTGTCAGGGACAGTCCCCAAATCACGAGCACAACAAGAGCCCTTCAATCAGACCCGTTTTACAGTCAAACCAATTCCGAAAAGTTACCTCCACAATGTTGCCGACCAGGTAAGGGAGTTGCTTGTTGAGCTTAATCTTCTCTTGGTTCTCCTATATCTTCTCCTTATACGACTCCAGCTCTAGATTCGTCCTCTGCAGCTCCTCCTGTCACCACAAACAAAAAAAAAAACCAATATCCCATCAAAACCCCCCATCGATGCACCGACTCAAATCACTAGAGATTCGAAAACAAATTACCGAAGACCCAACAAACAAGCGAAGCTCGCGCTACAAGCCCTAGCAATCCAATCGAAGCCATCGACATCCGCACACGCAGAGGGAGATAAGAGACGACGCGACCGACGACAGGGTACTTATCTTCGAACTTCTTCTCCCACCTGATCAGTGTATGGCGGAGGACGGCGAATCGGAGAGGGGAGAGGCGGTGGTCGGCATGGGGTCCATGGACTCGACGGAGTCCCGCTGGGTGTTCCAGTACGAGGACGATTCGGAGATCGAGGGCGACGAAGAGGACGACGACGACGTCAAACCTAGGGTTTTTTCATCCTGCAGTGCTATGCGCGCAGAGAGGGGAGAGAGAATGGGAGAGAGACTGAGAGAGGGAGAGTCAACGGGTCGGCCCAGAGTGTCAATGGGTGGGCTCGATTATACCCCAACCCTAATGGTGGTACAAGTTTTAGGGTCAAATTGAGACCCGATCCCAAAATATCTCAAATTTTAGGGCTAAGTCGGGCCGAGACGGTCCGGGCCGGGTCAGCCCGGGTTTTGTTGACACCCCTAGTGGCTTGCAACCGTTATGCAGATAATCCAAACCTGAAATCCTCGCAGAAACCGTGTCAATAATGCCAAAGCAATGACGGGAAGAAAACCTACAACTGTGTATATCTCATTCAAGTACCTTGTGCTACATGATATCAACAGCTATTTGTAGTCTCCTACTCCACGTCAAGACCTTCAGATGGTCCTCTGGTGGTTGCATCTTAACTTTACCTATGAGCAAGAAATAGAGTTTTTCAGGATTATTATACAGAGGAAACAACACAACAGAACATAAACACGCACCTGATAAATGTTGCCTTAAATTTCCATTAGCCATGTATTCATATATTAGTGCCATGTGCCTGGAATCATCGCAATATCCAAACAAAGAAACCAAGTTTCCGTGGTGAATAATCATTAAGAGTTGATCCTGCAATATCACGATTTTGTATTGTCATAATGTATACTGATAATAGTCTAAGAGGAAGTTTCTGAACGTACATCTGTGTAAGTGAGTATTAGTTGGTGTAAGTGAGTATTAGTTGAGTTTAAAAAGGAAGAATGATTCCATCATCCTGTCTGACCTCGGCTTGAAATTCCTTGTACCCTTGCTTTGATGATTTAGAGAGCATCTTCACTGCAACTTCAGTGCCGTTCTCTAGTGTACCAAGATATACCTTTCCAAATCCGCCTTCACCAATCACTTGTCGAAAGTTCCCAGTGATTCTTGAAACCTCTCCATACGTAAAAGGTCGATTTTTTAATCTCAGCATGCTTTCACTAGATCCTGTATCAAAAAGTTTCCTATGAGTTTTGCGACTACACTTTGGATGGTAGACTTTCAAGACAAATAACTCCAACTGCGTCCTCAACAATTAAAAGACGTAGGAAAGATTGACGGGGAAGAGGACCAAAAATCAAAAGATCTGGCGAGGGATTATCTGTCAGCTGCCATCAATATGCTTACAACTGTGTTCTTTGCTCAATACATACAGACAAGTTTGAGATTGTACAATCAAACTTTCTTTTAGGGAGCATTGAAATGTTAAGGACAAAGTTGTATTCTCAAGTTGTTATAAGTCCTTCGCATGCATAGCACGGTTACTTTTGGAAAAGAAAAAATCAGAAATTTATTGTCGATAAGTTAAGCCAAATAATGCACTTTCTCTTCGTGATGCTGATGCGACCATGCTGTGGTAATTACTGTCTCTCTCCTTTCCATTTTCTTTTGGTCACTACGTAACTCAGATTACTTGCATTTTGAAATTTTGATTAAAGGCACCTTTATTCCAGATTGCAATGACGATGAGATTGTAAAATAATACCCTTAGGGTGAGTGAGAAGAGATAGCAAGTTGCTGAATTGTATATTCTCAATAAAATTATCCTTGAAAAGACATTGTTGCAGATATAACTCTACCAAAGGAAAAGCAATGTCAAGATTGTCGTCAAATGCAATGTAGATTGTGCAAACAGGACAAGGAAGAAAACTTACCAGCTATTCTTTTCCGTTTAATTAACCAAACGATGGCCAAAGCACCAAAGAGAACTACAAAGAAACCTGAAACTGATGCAACAACCGGAACAAGGATGTTTTTTTGTTTCTTCTTCCGCAAGCAAGGATCAACTCCGCAAAGATTCGTGTTTCCTGTCAAACTGCCACAAAAGAATGAAGGAGCTGAACTTAAATTCCTATCAACATTGCCATATGGTGATGACAAGTTGGCCTTCTTATTTGCTTTTAATCACATTAAAAAAAAAACATGTCGATAGTCTTGCCACCCTATAGAAGTTGCATCCGACTCAACGAGAGAGAGAGAGAGGGAGAGAGAGAGAGAGAGAGAGAGAGAGAGAGAGAGAGAGAGAGAGAGAGAGCACCTCATGATTAAAGTATTGTCCAGAACCCTTTTCTTAAGAGCTTCAGGAACTGATCCAATCAGGTTGTTTCCACTTAAATTTCTGCAAATTTAGCCATGATTAGAGGTTTCTCCACTTGAAATAATTTGCTGCTTCATTTTGCCACATTAACTTACAGATACCTAAGATTTTGCAATTCGGACAGAGTTTCTGGTATTGCTCCTGTACGCTGATTGTTGGACAAATCTCTGGAAAATACCAAGTTTAGAACACCTAATATCAAGTTAACCAGGTCCATAGCCAAAGCAGGATGTTTCCACACACATTAGGGCAACATTCAAAAGCCTACATCTCCTAAACCACAACCTTAATCATTAAATCATGAGTTGACTCCCGGCGGTGCTTAATCAAAAGCTAAGTAGTACCGACACGCGATACGACACGCTGATACGTCATTACTCAAAAAATAGAGAATTCCGACACGTTGGGATCCGTTGTATATTAAATATATATTTTTATATATACATAATAAATGATCATTTTTATGGTTATTTCAATCAAATTAATTTGATTCAAAGTCACAAATAAATAAATAATAAAAAAGAGCCTAGAATGAATTTACACTAAATACATTAATCCACCATTTGTTAATATCATTCATTGTTTCGAATTGACAAATTCAACTACATTCCATTTCAATAATCCATAAATTTACATATTAGCAAGAGAATCTTTCAAATAAGTGAAAGAGAAATTGAGAAAGGGAGAGATACAGAGAGAGAAAGAGGACATACATACCAACGGTGAGTTTCTTCTTCGGAAAAAGTGTCAGAAAAGTACTAAACTTATTGCATTTGTGCCAATTTAGTTATAAATCTTTTTTTGGTACAAATTTAGTCATAAACCTTTTGTCTTATACCAATTCAGTCATTTCCGCTAATTTTGGTCGGATTTTGCTAACATGGACACCGACTGGCTTACATAGCACCGTCAACGATGACGTGGACAACTTTTAATAATATTTTAATATATATTTTTTAATTTTTAATTTTTTTTAGCTTTCCCTTTCTTCTTCCTTGTGCCGATCGCCAATCTGGCAACCAGTTGGAGGCTAGGACCGGCAAGCCCCACTAGCCACTGGCGAGGCTCGAGCCCTCTCCAACGGCTAGGCGAGGCACGACCTTGCTAAATCTGGTGAGTTTGGGCCTTACCCATGGCCCCCGCCGAATCTAGCGAGGGTCAAGCCTTGCTAGCCATGGGTGAGGCCCGACCTCGCCAGATCTTCGCCAAATTCGGCAAGGTCGTACCTCATCCAGCTGCTGGTGAGGTCGAAGTCCGCGACCTCGCGACCACTGGTGAGGGCGAGGCTCACCTCGCCATTAGATAGGTGAGGCTTATCGTCATCAGTGGCCAGTGGGGCTTGCTAGAGACCGGCGAGGGGCCTAGCCGGCCCTAGCCTTCAGTTGGTTGCTAGTAGGGGAAGAAGAAGGGGAAAGAAAAAAAGAAAAAAAGAATAAAAAATATTAAAAAAATCGAAAAAATATTAAAAATATTATTAAACGTTGTCCGCGTCATCGCCAATGGTGCCACATAAGTCGGCCGGTGTCCACGTTAGTAAAATTCAGCCAAAATTATCCGGAAGGACTGAATTGGCACAAAGAGAAAAGGTTTCGGATTGAATTGGCATAAAAAAAAGGTTTAAGACTAAATTGACACCAATGCAATAGGTTTAAGACTTTTATAACACTTTTCCCTTTCTTCTTCTTCTTCTATTTTTCTATTAAGGATTCATGATTAGGTTTTTTTGGGCTAGCTAGGTATATTATTAATTTTTGGGTGGCTGGGAATATGATTTAAGTATATATTTTTTTGATAGATTTACATTTTGACCCCTGATTTATTGAAAATGTTTAAAATTGACTCCATGCATGTCAGGATGATGGACTCGCGTGTCGCTGGTGTGTTTGGAGCGCTGATCACGTGTTGGATGTCTAATACATGTTGACCACGTGTCGGTCGCATGTTGAATTGTGTTGGATGCATCACCGATGCGAAGGCCCTCTGAGAGTGTCCGTGCTTCCTAGATCAAAAGTGACGTGCAGACACAACTAAATCAACAACGGTGATACTTACAAGTATTCCATTGCTGATAGATGTGAAAAAGATGAGACTTTTTCGCCCATCAAATTGCTGGAGCTCAATTTCCTGACCATCATAGATCAAAAGAGAGGAACCTGTCATTGCCATCTTCATGAAAGCAGCATTTTATGGTGCTATAAAGAAAAGTTTGTGCGCTCAATTCTTCGGAATGAAAATATTTTGAGTCCTCCAGGTGTAAATGTTTTAGGTACTAGAGACCTTTCATAATCGCCAATCTCATTCCTTGCACGGGTCTCACTAACTCCTTGTACTATAATTTACGGTTATTATTGACCGTAGAGTACATAAAGGTTATTCTTGGAGGACATAATACCTGCTCAGAGAAAATGCAATTTGGAACGCTTAAGTTATAAATTGGAAAGTCGGCTATTAGTGAAAAAAGTTGTGCATGCATGACAACTCGCATCGAAGAAGAAGGGAGAATTTAGGCTTCGTTTATTTCACGAAAAATTAATAATTTGGAAAAGCATTTCCCTAAAAATAATCGATTGTATTATTTATAAAATTGAATGAATGAAAAATATTTTCATCATCCACAAAATTGTTTAGACATAAATTGTTATCGATATTGAAAATATTTTTCATTGACTAATTATTTCAAGTGATACAAGCGGTTATTTTTAGGAAAATATTTTCCAAATTAGTCATTTTCGGCGAAATAAATAGAGCTTTACTGTCAATCAATGAGTATATAACTTGTCATGATCAACCTCATCCCCCGGGAGCAAGTTCTCCAATAGAAATACTCAAGTGGGTAACTTTTTGAGATGGGTGTCAACTTAGGGATCAGTTTGTGAGCTCACTTCAATACCATGTGAGGCTTAAGAGTGTCAAAAATTCCCTCTTTTAGAACACTGAAGTTTCCATGACCCCATAGCCTAGCAGCACTCTCACCCCCTTTGACTTGTGAATTGATCCATTCCTGCTCCCTTAACAATCTTAGAAGCCCCGTGACTGCCCTAGCAAATGCTCTCCGCCCTCGTCAAGCCAAGTTGCAATATATACTGTTTTGTCCCAAAATGAGTACTCAAGATCAGTACTGGAGGGTGTAATACTGTAATAACTTTTTACAATATCCTGGCCAAATTCATCTGGACGAAGCCCAAAATGGCTACTCAAGATTGACTTTTGGGGGTAGGTGTCAAATTTTCAGTCACTTTATGTGCTCTGTCCCGCTTCATGTGAGACTTTGGGTGTAACATAACGACAATCAAACAGACTCCAAGAACTTGACAAAAGCATGACAAAGTTTTCGGTCCATCTGAAAATTCACTCTGAAAGGTTACATTCACCCTAAATGTTCTTTTTTTCCTTCTCATTGATGCATAAAACTTCCGGTTTTCATGAGAATGAGAATTATTCTTGAGTTTTCGCCTAGAAAACCAATATTATCAAAGAAATAGTGACTGGGGACTCACACCAATATAATCCTTAGAGGATTTTCAGAGCTACAAGTTAGACCATCCCATGCGTAGTTGCTTGGTACACATGGATCACCTTGCCAGCTTTCTCTCTTAATGTGATACATTACTTTGATGTCACTGATAGCTTGCACTGTAATTTAAATCACAAAAACGATCTATTATTTAAGAAGAAGGATAGAGATGCAAAATGTGGTTGTGATCACATACGAAATATATATAGTTTGAGCTTTCAAAAGAATTGTATCAATTCAGGGCTTCAGCTTGAAGAGACATTCTAGCAATTACCAAGCAAAAAGTAGCCAAAGCAGAGAAATTAGCAGATAGCAGAGTAATACCAAGCCACGCCTGTTGATCCCAATAAAATCGGAGTTCGCGAATAACATAAAGACCCACAGTGGAGACTAGAATATTTAGCATAGGATGACCTAAATTCTACTTATTGAGAATGGAACATCTGTCTAATCTTTACCAAAAATATTTTTTTTCTTTACCAAAAAAAAAAAACATCTGTCTAATTAATATTGATGTCAATTGTAGCACAACTGTACAAAGTGTATCTAGACAGTAAAACATGCAGAAGAATAAAGGCATACCATCATCTTGTGCTGTGGGTACATTTGGAAGATCGCCAATTGTATAGAACTCCACGGCATTGAGGATTGGTGGATTTCCAGACTTATTCGTCGATTCAATTGGGAAGGTGATGTTCCACCCGCTAACTGGAGTGGAAACTACGACCACTGGCTCTAAGTACTCAAGGCTCACTGTCCTTGTGAATTGATTATCATTCATGGAAATTGTGAACTCCCTCTGATGGCCGCTCATCAGTCTCTCAATCTCCATGAAATAAAAGTACACAATCCATTTCTTTGTGGAGATCGAAGGCCAGTGTAACTTCATGGGAGAACTGGCATTTGTAGATCTTTGAGCGGTCCGAAGAACTTCCCCGGGAACATTGTACTTGTACACATCATTGTCGACAGATAAATCAATTGCAGATGTGGTGTTCAATATGAACCAGAAAGTATAGTTTTGAGCAAACCAGATCCGATCGTAAACATCGTCAGGGTACCTGAGTGAGGCATTTTGACAAACAGTTTAAGAGCAAACAATTAAACAATTGACTGAGTCACTAGCAAATGTCAGTTCATATGGATATAGGACAGGATTATTGAAGTTACTATATTCAACACATTACCAGCTACTATATTTAACAGAAGTCAATTGCTACGGACTTATAACACGTTGTCTGCATAAACAATACATCAGTTTTCGTATTGTTCAATTAACGTAATTGAACAAAAAATTTATTGGTTATGAAGCATTTCCTAGATGCTATGTTTTGTTTTCTGTTTTTTTTTTCCAAGCAAAAAAAGAGATTGGACGGGTTGGCACCTAACTTATTAACTATTGAAATGTTTCCTACATGGAATGTATCAACTTCAAATGTTAATCATAGATTTTATGTAAAATGAGTATTATCACCAAACTTCAGAGAGAGATATATTGTTAATATGTATCCCGTGGACACTTGCTAAGAGCCTAAGACCGCTAAAAATAGTAAAAAAGCATACCGACATGTTTTGAAAATTGAAAAACAAAATACTTCAAGAAAGTAGAATAGTTTAAATAGAAATAGTCATATTCTCAAAGAGTCAATGTATAATCAATAACCCTTGGACATTCTTTAAAATTTTCATATGTACTTGTAGACTGCCTCTTCAGAAGTAGACATCAAGTTCCATTGTATTCTAGACATAATCCGTGCTTTCCGCGGATTGTTGTACATATTTACTATAAAATCATATATAGACACTTAAGCTTAAAAAACTTATTGCACTAACGTATTAGTAATATGAGATTCTAATGTTAACATAACATTAATCATTTCGAGGAACTTATATAAGGAAATAGTCAAATGGTAATTTGACCCGTCATATTTCATTTGTGTTTACTATGTCTCAAGTACACCTAATTTAGGGAAAATTACCAAAAATATCCTAAACCTATTGCATTTGTGTCAATTCAGTCCTAAACCTTTTAATTTGGCTAATTTAGTTAAAAACTTTTCAATTGTGCCAATTCAGTCCTAAACATTTTGACGATTTGCCAATTTATGTGTCAACCTTAAAGGCGATGCTTAGGGAAAATGTTGTTATCATATATTGACTAGCAAAAAAGCATATGTATTTCCTGTAAATGAAATTTGACATTTATAAAATTTTACAAAATCATCTTATCATGAAATATTTGAATTATTAATTATCAACATCAAGAAATATTGACACCATTTAAAGGAATTGAACATATAGATATGGAAAGAGAAAAATATTTTAACATTTGAATTTTTTTATATGATTGTTTCTGAGATAGAAAAATTGATAAATTTTAAATTCGACATATGCTAGAGACACGATGAAATTATTAATTTATGGATTTTCTATTTATAGAATATTTATAAATTTTTGGAGAAGAAAAAGAAAATTGTGATCCCTTAAAAGTATGAGGTTCTCTTTATTTTAAATAATAGTATAGATTTAAATTATACTATATGTCTTCTCTTATGTTCACTTATTGGAAGAAGCTAAAGATTACAAAAATTAATAGATGGCAAACCCCATGCTATGCAAATTCTACACAGGAAAGAAATTTCTTTTGTTGATGATACCTGTACAACCATTACCGTAAAATAAAAGAGTAAAATTATGAAATTATGACTTTATTTGTGTGTAACTTAGTAAGAAAATATTAAAATCAGGCATACCTGCTTGGTAGGCTGGTAGTACGTATACACGGGATATAAATTACTTCTGTTGACATGACAAACCAATAATAATCCTCATATTTCAAAAAATCATTTTATTTGCTTGATAGCAGTCTTCGAGCTCAGTCCGATATCGAACCGCCATTGGAATTGCAAGAATCCAGATCCCAATCGATAGATGCCATCATCAAGAGGTCTTAGTTCCAATGCCGAAATGAAGGGCACTCCCTTGCCAGTATTCACAAGGCACACTTGTATATCATCTTCCTGGGACACGTACATGATTTCTTCACAGAAATACGCCGGAGAGTTCACCTTGGCCCAATAATTAATGCCGATGTGTAGGTCGAAAGGAGTTTGATTCTTCCCATCATAGTTCCCATACCAAAATGTCGCCATGATCAAATAGGTGATGTTCGTGCCTCGGTCTGGTCTTAAGGTGTAACAGTTCCTCGTTCCATTGGGAAAACTCCTTAAATTCTTCGAATATTGTTGATTATATGTATATATGACCTTCGAGGATACCTGCATGTTCTCTCCGAAGTCTATGAACCTTTCATCCGTTCCGTATGTTATGTTGATTTCCTCTTCGGTGTATTGATTAGGTGCCCCATAATCGATGTTGATAAAACCTTGCAAGTTCAGAGAAAAGAAGAAAAACTCGATGAAATGGAATGATGGTGTTTCTATTGGATCGTTGGAACAAGTTCGGCAAATCTCGATCGTTCAATTCCGTACTATTGTATCTACCGTACGTCGGATGGGAATGAACAGAAAGAAGAGACCATTTTGGCTTTGATTAGAGGTCATAACTAATGGACGGACATCGACAATAAAATGGCCAACATTTCCTGACATCGTAGAGGGGACAATAATATGGTCCGAAGCTTAAACCACAAGACAGAGAGATATCATGCTGTGTTTGGGAGAAAGAGGAGAGGAAAATCGGTGTCGAGGATGTCCACAGTATTAAATTTTCCCTCCTATTCCATCTTCCAAATAATTTATGTTTTCTCAATTTTTTTACTCAGATTTTCTTCCGCCCCTTCCTCTCCTCTTTTCTCTCTATTTTTCAAGCAAAGCATGCTAACTTAATAGACTATTGCTGGATTTTGAGAGAGAGAGAGAGAGAGAGAGAGAGAGAGAGAGAGAGAGAGAGAGAGAGAGAGAGAGAGAGAGAGAGAGAGAGAGAGATACCGGCATTTTTTGGGCTTGAACCACAAGGACGAGTGCTGAAGCTAAACAAGCAAGCAAAGCAAACGAGAAAGCTGCAAGTGATCTTCCCATTGTCATCGAGCAGCTTGAGATTTTCCAAGAGAGAAGTGTGAGGAAGGTATGCATGCACGCAATTTGTTGATATCATGAGCACTCGATACGATGATTTGACAATTGACACCATCTTAATGGCCACGAGCCTAGTATTTTTCATTGGTAGTCACCTCTATATCGTCTGCTAGGACCACCGAACGGACCATCGGTATCAACGAATTCAGACCGACCACGTTCGCTTGCCATTAGGCATCGCCGTGTTATCTGGGCTAAGTCAATATCATTCACAAAAGAAAAGGCAAAGAGACTTTTGCTAAGAAAATTTAATGCATGATGGTTAACCCGAGAAATGGGAAGTCGTAGGTTGCTTTCAATGAAAATGATAACAAGAGATATCTATTAAAAAACATTAAAAAGCACATTTTATCAGTGAATAATGTGTTATGGAAAGGTAGGAAAATTGTTCAAAAAGTCCTAAACCTATTATAATTCATCTAAACATTTAATCCTAAAAATTTTGACAATACCGATTAAGTACTAAACCTTTTCAGAATTTACCAATTTAGTCTTAAACATTTTAACGAATTGCTAATGTAATCATTTTAGCCAATTTTTCCTGGAAATCAATGGCGTAGCGGTCCATTCTGCAGCAGCCTTCCTACGTGGCGCAATCTGCGCTAATGTAGATAGTTTTTTTTTATCAATTTTTTATTAATTTTTTGTTGATTTATTTTATTTTTATTTTTTTTGCTTTTTTTCATCGCGAGGCCGCCAGCCACTACCCTACGGCGAGAGCCATAAAGCCCTTGTCAGCTGCAAGCGAGGGTCGCGACCCTTTCCTAGGCCCTCGTTGGCCGCAATGAGGGCGTCACGGGCCTCGCCCAGGGGCCAACGAAGGTCAATGGCCCTCAGCCAGTGGCTGGTGGCTCCACTGACCCTGTGAAGCTAAAGAAGCAAGCAACGCAAATGAGAAAACCGTAATGGATCTTGCCATTGTCATCGAGCAGTGGAGATTTTTGAAGAGAGAAGTGTGAGGAAGATATACAATATACCGAGCAGTGGACAAAGGATACACTAGCTTCATATATTATATGATTCGTGTTATCACAAGGAGGGAGATCACATGTATATAAAGAATATATACTTTATTACCTCCTTTCACATTCATACATGATTTGACATGTCAAATTTGGCCAACGGGGGTTGCACATGTGAAATAAATTGGCGCAAAACCTAACTCCAATACCATGTTAGAAAATTCAACCCAAAATATTAAAATTATTTATGAAAGGAGACTATTTGTATATAAAGAGCATATAAACCCTATAACAAGCGATGCGGTGATACTTAAATAGTGTCTTAATGCAAAATTTGAAGATTGTAGAACGGTTAGTATTGATTCCTCAAGCTTTCTACACGCAATAGTCCCACATTATTAGAATAAAAAATTAAATCCTCTGTCGATATACACTCATTTACCCAAGATTCCCATTAACTCGGGTCTTTGAGCGAAATTGAGTATAATCAATTAGGTGAAATGGCTACTACTTTGAAATTTAAGGAATGACATGCTTTGGAGTGCATTCGAAAGTTCGTACGCTGGTTTTACTATTCCTAAATGATCCCAGAGTGATTCATTCAGTAATTTTATTGATGGCTTGAGCAAGAAAAGCATTGTACTAATTACATGACGTACCACCACACTCGAGAACATTAAAGATGATTTTTGCTTCAATAATGCACATCGCACTAAGATTAAAGAAATTAAAGAGCAAAGACTTTGCTGTTGTAAAAGTGAGTTTTGCTTTCACATTTGTAAATTGGAAAAAGAGTCTTCGTTGATTGATTTTTCCATTCAAAAAGAGATTCTTGTTGTGGGAGATGGTTTTCTTTTCCAAAATAGAGAAAATGGAGTTGACCGTTTCTTTGGTCCATCATCTACTATGAGACAACAACAACATTATCATTGCTAAGATTTGCTTTTAATTGACGAACCAAGATATTTTCCTTCAAATGTGTTCCTTTCATCTAGTGATAATATATCTTCTTCTTTTCGATGTTTATATCAAACCGTATCTCTATTACAGTATTTAGTTACTCCGAGCGATGATGGTTATCTAACCATCAATGTAATGTCAGCTTTGATTTAGTTTCTCTTTAATTCGCTACAGGCTGAAGTCGACAACTTAGTGAACGTTCTATTTGCGTAAATAAATGACAGCTATTCAGACACTAATTTCCCTATCTTCTCTCTTCTTATGGTCTCAATTATTCTGTCACAAGTGATGAATCAATAGTCACTAAAAGTGACTTGACTCTTCCCTTGTCTTTTAACTAGATCAGAAAAGCTTTCGTCAATTCTCATGGCAGACCGACAAAGTCACTAGAGTAATGACGACGAAAGGGACTCGAGTTCAGCACACACTTTCTACGTCATAAGTGTTTCGACACCGTGGTTCTGTTGTTGCCGGTGGTGCTGCTTGATCAAAAGTCCCCGAACCCAGAAGGGTCATCGCATACTTACGTCACGGTATGCGCAAACTCCTATTGGTATAAGATCATTAACAGGTTCTCTTTTTTCGGTTTTGCTTGCTAGGATGAGACCTCATTTTTTTCTGAATCCCGCCATTGATCGCCACAGACGGGACAAATCTGTGGCACGTCGGCTGATCCTTTTTGACGAATCAGGCCATGGTATACTGGTGAATCGGTGATGCACATCTTCTCCGGCCACGTAGCTCTCGTCTAGTCAATGATACTGGTTGTTGCATTGGAACCCCGAGACAAAGCCTATTCCGCATTCTGAGAATTAGAGAGATCGGGATTGCCTTTTCTCTGGATATAGACATGTCGCAGATGTATGCATTATCATAAGTCAAGCTCGAGTCTTGTGTCCATAATTTGTCAACGATGCATGTGTGTATATCCCAGGTTGCTTGTGAGAAGTACTACATTAGGACCACCAGAAAGAAAAAAGATAATTAGTCCTCGTTATAAATTTTCTTATTCTACCCCCTCAACATTGCATAATTGTTGCTACTTAATCAATTGTGTTGATTCCAACTGAAATCTCAGCTGAACCTCAGGAACGTGCTGCAAGGGCCTGTTAACACCAATTACCCCATCTATGGATAACCCCAACCTCTGGATCAACATAATATTCCTAATTTTACAGTATTAGGAATGCGATGAACTGACATTATGAATGGAGAAAGAAGCGACAAAGGACGCAAGGATATCATTGTTACAAAGCAAGTTGGTAGACACGCTGCTCTTAGGAAGCAGTGCTAGAGCATTTCGAACATTCAATCACAATAAGAACAGGGAAATGGATGACGCAACAAAAAAAAATAGTACAAATTTGCGGACAAAAGTTAATCTTTTGCCTAAAAAGAAGACGGCCTTTCTGGATTGGAAAAGTTCTGCTACCTTGCCGTAGGGGCACTGTAAAATTGGAGCTCCGAGGAGGTCATTTCAAAGGAACCACTTGATTTGCTCACCGAAGAGGCCTTCAACTCTGCAAGTACATCATTTATGTCTGGCCTTTGAATCGCCGTTGATCGTGTACAAGATATAGCAATCTCCACTACTTTCCAAGCTGAATTGATGTCGAATTTTCCTTGTAACCCTGGATCCATAATCCTCTGTATATCACCACTTTCAACAATAGGAATCAACCATTGAAGTATGTGAATCCTGGTGCTGCCATCCCGGCTTCTCATTATTGGAGGTCGGCCTGTAATCAACTCAAGGAGTATGATTCCGAAACTATAAACATCACTCTTCTTGTTTAAGTTTCCAGAAGATTGAAACCTGGGAGGAAAAAATAAACAAATAATTTATCCTTTAAATCAAGCATAGGCAATGTCAGTATTTCTATGCAAATAGAATTGAACCAGATTGATAATATTGAAGTTAAGCCATTACTCGGGGTCGAGGTAGCCGGGAGTGCCAGCAGGACAAGTTGACACATAAGATTCGTTTTCAGTTGCAAAAGCTCTTGACAAGCCAAAATCAGCTATTTTGGCTCGGAAGTCTTCATTCAACAAGATGTTTGTAGTTTTCAAGTCTCTGTGGATGATGGATGGCTTGCAACCATTATGCAAATAATCCAAACCTGTAACTCCTCTCAAAAACCATGTCAACAATGCAAAACAATGTCGGGAAAGAACCTACAACTGTGAATATCCCATTCATGTACCTTGTGCTGCATCCAAAGCTATTTGTAGTCTCTTACTCCACGTCAAGACCTTTGGATGGTCCTCTGTCGGATGCATCTTAACTTTATCTATGAGCAAGAAATGGAGTTTAACAGGATTTTTTAAGTGAAGAAATAATAGAAAAGAACATAAATACGCACCTGATAAATGTTGCCTTAAATTTCCATTAGCCATGTATTCATATATTAAAGCCATGTGCTTGGAATCACAGCAATATCCAAACAGAGAAACCAAGTTTCCGTGGTGAACAATCATTAAGAGTTGCGCCTGCAGTGTCATGAGTGTGCATTATTATAATGCATACGGACAATAGTCTAAGAGGAAGTTCCTGAACAAAAGTCTGCATAAGTATCAGCATAAGTTGATTTTAAAAGGAAGAGTGATTGCATCATCCCATCTAACCTCGGCTTGAAATTCCTTGTACCCTTGCTTCGATGATTCAGAGAGAATCTTCACAGCAACCATGGTGCCATTAACTAGTGTTCCAAGATAAACCTTTCCAAATCCACCTTCACCAATCACTTGTCCAAAGTTCCCAGTGATTCTTGAAATCTCTCCATACTTGAAAGGTCGATTCTTTAATCTCAGCGTCCTTTCACTAGATTCTGTGCCGAAAAGGTTCCTAATGAGTATTGTGACTACCCCTTCAGATAGTAGACTTTCAAGGGAAATAGCTCCCATGGTAATTGCATCCGCAACAATTAAAAGACATAGGAAGGGTCTTTCTGATCCCGTTTCAAGAGCTATATTAATGGAGAAGAGGACAATAATAGAAAGATATGGGCAGGGATTCTCTGTCACCTGCCTTCAATATGCTATCAAATGGATAATTGTTCTTTGCTCAATACACACACAAAGATAAGTTTGCGATCGCACAATCAAACTTTCTTCTAGGGAGCCTCAGACTATTAAGGACAGAGTTGTACTATTAAGTTGTTATAAGTCCTTCCCGTGCATAGCACGGTTAGTTTTGAAAAGAAAAATCAGAAATTTTATTAAGTTAAGCCGAATAATGCACATACTCTTTGTGATGCTGATGCGACCATGCTGTATGATTGATCCCTGTCTCTCTTTTTTTTTTGGTACGGAAAATCCCTGTCTCTCTTTACTCTCCATTTCTTGTGACAACTATATAACTCAGATTACTAGCATTGGGGAATTTGGATTAATGCCAACTTTCCTTTATTCCTGAGGTTGATGAGATTGTAAAATGATACTCTCGAGGGGGGGGGTGTTGTAGAGCGGTTTTTAGAGATAGCAAGTTGCTCAGTTTTATTTTCTCAACTAAATTATCCTAGAAAAGACACTGTTGCAGTTAGAACTGTACCAATGGAAAACCAAAGTTAAGATTGTTGTCAAATGTAGTGTAGATTGGCTGAACAGGACAAGTAAGAAACTTACCTGCTGTCCGTTTCCGTTTAATTAACCAAATCGTAGCCAAAGCACCAAAGAGAACTACAAAGAAGCCTGAAACTGATGCAACAACTGGAAAGAGGATGGTATTTTGTTTCTTCTTCTGCGGGCAAGGATCAGCGAGGCAAAGATTGGGGTTTCCTGTCAAACTGCCACAAAGAATGAAGGAGCTGAACTTATATTCCTCTCAAAATATGTTCAGTTTGATATGCCAAATGCTGATCGCTAGCCTGTAAAAGTTGCATAACACGAAAGAGAGAGAGAGAGAGAGCACCTCATGCTTAAAGTATAGTCCACAACCCTTTTCTTAAGAGCGTCAGGAACTGATCCAATCAAGTTGTTTCCACTTAAATTTCTGCAAATTTAGGCATAATTAGAGATTTGTTCATTTTAAATCCTTTGCTGCTTCACTTAGACATTAACTTACAGAAATCTAAGATTTTGTAACTCTGCCAGAGTTTTTGGTATGGCTCCTGTAAGTTGATTGTTGGACAAATCTCTGGAAAAGAGCAAGTTTAGAATACCCAAGATCACGTTAACCAGCTCCATAGCCAAAAGCAGGATGTTTGCCCACATTAGGGCAATATTTCAATAGCCTATGTCTCCTAAAGCACAACCTTAGTCATTCGATCATGAGTTGACTCCCAGGGGGTGCTTAATCATGAGTGATGTGCAGAAACAACTAGATCAACCATGGTGATACTTACAAGTATTCCAATCTTGATAGATGTGAAAGTGATGAGACTATGTCGCCCGTCAAATTGCTAGAGCTCAATGTCCTGACCATCGTAGATCAAAATAGAGGATCCTGTCATCGCCATCTTCATAACGGCCGCACTTTTGGTACAATATAGAAAAGTTTGTGCAATCAATTCTTCAGATTGAAGATAATTTAGGTCCTCCTGGTGTGAATGTTTTAGGTATTGGAAGACCATTCATAATTCAATCCTTGCATGGGTGTCACTATCTCCTTGTTCTACAATTTATGGTTATTTTTGGACCTAGAGTACCTAAAAATTATTTTCCGAGGACCTAATACTTGCTCATACACAACGCAACTTGGAACCTTAATGTCAAAAATTGGAAAAGTAGGCTACTGGGGAATCTCACATGATATTGGAGAGAGTTCATACACTGATACTTAATTTCACACACCCGAAAAAGTCACCATCCTATGTGGGAATTCATTTTGGGAGGTTGCATTGATCTTAAATGTTCTTTCTCGTGGATACATAAAACTTCCAATTTTCACGATGAATAAAATTTCATTTTAAGTTTCACCTAGAAAATCAGTATCTGATAAACGGTGTTAGGGGACTCACAGCGATATGATCTTTGGAGGATTTCCATAGCTACAATTTAGACCATCCCATCTGTGGTTGATCGGTACGCACGGATCACCTTGCCAGCTTTCTCTCTTAATGTGATATGTAGCTTTGGTATCATTGATAGCTTTCACTGTGATTTAAATCACAAAAATGATCTATCATTTACAGAGAAGGATAGAGATGCGAAATGTGGTTGAACTCACGAATGAATTATACAGACTTTCAGCTTTCAAAAGACTAGTAACATTTCAGGGCTTCAGTTTGAAGAGACATTCCAGCAATTACCAAACAAAAAGTAGCCAAAGCAGGGAATTAAGCAGATAGCAGAGTAATACTTAGCCACACCTGTTGATCCCAACAAAATCGGAGTTCACGAATGACCTAAAGACCCACAGTGGAGACTAGTATATTTAGTATAGGATTCCCTAAATCTTACCTATTGACAATGGAACATCTATCTAATTATTACTGATGTCAATTGTAGCACAACTGTACAAAGTGTATGTAGACAATAAAAACATGTAGAAGAATAAAAGCTTACCATCATCTTGTGCTGTGGGTACAGTTGGAAGATCATGAACGGCATAGAACTCCACGGCATTGAGGATCGGTGGATTTCCAGATTCATTTGTCGATTCAATTGAGAAGGTGATGAGCGATCCGTTGACTGGAGTGGAAACTACAGCCACTGGCTTTAAGTATTCAAGGCTCACCGTCTCTTTGAATTGATGGTCATTAACAGAAATTGTGAACTCTCTCTGCAGGCCACTCGACAGTATCTCAATCTCCGTGAAATGAAAGTACACAATCCATTTCTGTGCGCTAATGGAAGGTTCCCGCTGAAAATTCAAGGGAGAACTAGCATCCATTGATCTTTGAGCAGTCTGGAGAACTTGCCAGGGAACCTTGTACTTATACGCACCATTGTCAATGGCAGATGTGGTGTTCAGAACGAACCATTGATCATTGTTTTTAGTTGTCCAGATTCGATCGTAAACATCGTCAGGGTAGCTGAGTGAGGCATTTTCACAAACAGTATAAGAGCAAATAATGAAGCAATTGACTGAGGGACTAGCAAATGCCAATTCATATGGATATGCAACACAAATATTGAATTTACCATATTCAACACATTACAAGCGTGGAGCCGATGCTTTGGTTGGTTTCGAAAATCAGAATATCTTACTGGTGATCAATGCAAAACTTGAAAATAGCAATATGATGTGCAGTTGATTATATTTGTCGAGAGAAGTTAGTGGCCACAGACTTGTAACATGTCTGTACATACAAATACATCGGTTTCGTACGGTTCAATTTACGTAATTAAACAAAAATTATATTGGTTTTGAAGCATTTCTCAAATGGAATTTTTTTTTCTTCTTTTTTGCGGCGAAAAGGGTTCGGACGTTGGGATCCATTTCTCCCACTACTGAAATATTTCTTGGATGGAATGTAAGGACTTCAAATAGCAATGTGTATTAATCATGTATTTTATGTAAAATGAGTATCAGCACCAAACCTCAGAAATACATATTGTCAACAGGTGTCATAGTGACACCAGTTAAGTTCACTAACATTATAAAAAATGCAAACTGATATATGTTTTGAATATTGAAATACAACATATCTCAAGAAATTAGAATACTTTAAATAGAAATATTCATATTTTCAAACTATAACTAATAGCCCTCAAAAAATGTCCTCAGAGCACTTTTATTTTTTGCATATGTATATGTAAAGTCCCCTCTTCCTGAGTAGACATTGAGTTCTACAATATACTAGGCATGCTTTGCACGGGTTGTTGTATTCTAATGATAACATAGGATTAATCATTTTGATAAACTAATATATGAAATAGTCAACTTGATGTTTTGACTTATTATATTTCGTTCTTACTATGTCTCTGGTACACTTAATTTATGTATTTTTGTTTAGTAAACGTACTTGTATACTAATATAAAGTATTATGTCATTATCAAGGCACGAAACTTCTTTGATACAAAAGAGGTGAAATTAAAATAAAGAAATAAAGAAGAGAGGAAGGAGAGGGACAAGAGCAATAAATAAGTAGCAAAATGATGAGTGTAGAGTATAAGAAAATACTCCTTCCAACCAGAATGATCAATCCCTTACAAATGAGAATCCAATGTGTCAACCTTAAAGCTAATCCTTAAGAAAGACAATGTTATTATATATTTAAAAGCAAAAATGTACACGCATTTTGTGTATGTGAAGAATTGACATTTGTTAGATTTCGCATAATCATCTTGTTACGAAATATTTGAACTATTAATTATTAATATAGAGAAATTATTAACACAATTTGATTGAATTGAACACCGACGTGTGTGTGAGAGAAAAATATTTCAATAATTGTATTTTTTATAAAATTCTATGTAAGATAGAAACGATTTTTTTTATATTCGAGATACGCGAGAGGTGAAATAAAATTATTAATTGAAAGATTTTCTACTTAAATATTCTTGGAGAAGAAAAAAAAAATTTATTCCCTCAAAAGTAGGAGCTCCTCTTTGTTTAATATAATAAAAATATATATAGATAAAAAAATCATTTATGTCTCGTAGTACGTAGGTAGGGAATATGATTACATTTGTTGGACATGACAGTCTACCAATAATAAGTGAATTTCCTCATATTACAAAATCTTCAATTTTTTATACTACTAAAATTTTGAATTGAAATGTAATTATCAATGTCGCCTTAATGATTGTTCCTCAACCACATCATCTGATGGTGAATTTTATTAAAAAACTACATGGAACTCAAAATCACCACATGACCTTATATTTATTAGACATCAATAATTTACTATAACACTAATGTTTTTTAGCAAATAATTGCAATATTTTCATTTCAAACCTTTATGATAGTATATCATAAATATTAGTGAATATTTATTTGCATATTAAGGCAAAAAATAATTACGACATATTCTAATATTTTTGCAATGGCGTTGATTTTTTTTCCTAAATAAGACAACGAGTTCGCTTGTTATGTTGGAGTAACTTAATTGTTTTTTATACATATATGAAATTCTAATTTTGATTCTGATTACAATTTCAAAATTTCCAAATAACTTTTTTTTTTATTGGACCTAATGGCTTTTCTGTTTCTATTTTCATACTTTTTTTTATCATCCAACGATTTTTGTTGTAATCTTTGACATCTAATATCATTTTATATAATTATTTGAACTGTTTTTTCTTTTGTAATCTGTTGATTTTTCCTGGCCCTTTTTTTGTCTATGCTCAATTTTGTCTTGTGTACTTGTTATTTCTCCTAACCTAGTAGCCCCTTTGGATCTTTCTCACATTTAACTCGTTACCAATTCGGTTAGCCTTATTTTTTTCAGTTAAATTAGATACTTGCGTCTTCAATAGTTAGCAAAATGGCTAAATTCGATAAAAAGAAAACTGAATTTCTCTCTGCTATGATCTCTATACATTTGTATATAAAAAATTAACTGATCACCTGATGACAGAGTCCAAGCTTTCCCCAATGTCGTATCGTACATCAAGTTCCAAGAATCCAGATCGTAATCGATAGATGCCATCATCATCAAGAGGTCTTAGTTCCAATGCCGAAATGAAGGGCCACCCATGGCCAGTATTCACAAGACACACTTGTATATAATCTACCGGGGACACGTACATGATTTCTTCATAACTAATATTTGAGTAGTCCACTGTGGTCCAATAATTAACATCAATGTATAGGTCGAATGAAGGAGCCTGACTCTTTTCATCATAGTTTCCATACCAAAACGTTGCCCTAATCAAGTAGGTGTTGTTCTTGCCTTGGTTTGGTCTTAAAGTGTAACAGTTCCTCGTTCCATTAGGAAAACTCCTTAAATTCTTCACATACAGTGGATAAGGTATATCTCTGAACTCTGTGGATACAAGTCCATTCTTTCCAGAGTCTATGAACCCTTCATCCGTTGTGTATGTTAAATCGTAGTCACGGTCGGTGTATTCAGTAGTTGCTCCACAATCGATGCTGATAAAACCTTGTAAGTTTAGAGAAAAAAAGAACTCAATGAAATGGAACAACGGTTTATCTTATTGAACCATTGGAACAAGTTTGGTGAAACTTGATTATTCGCACAGTTCAATAGTTATTGTTTCTAACGCACCGATGATTTGACGCCTAGATCAAATGAGTCTGAATATAAAGAAGAGACCATTTGTTTCACTAGGAGGTCATGATTAATGGAGGGGTACAGACAATATAAGGCCAAAATTTCTTGACGTCATAGGTAAGACAATAACATTGTACGAATCTTAACCACAAGACGGGGAAAATATCATGCTGGGTTGGGGAGAAAGGGGAGATGAAAATTGGGGTCTAGGATGCCCACAATTTGGATTTCTCCTCCTCTCCCATCTTATAAAAAGTCTGATTTGTTCTGAGATTTTCACTCAAATTCCTCCCTCCATTTTCTCTCCTTATAGTCCAAGCAAAGCATGCAAACTCAAAATCTTTTAGCATCTCATGCAAACTCATGGAAACTCAAAAGCTTTCTTTTAGCATCTCATGCAAACTCAAAAACTTTTCTCAACGCGGGCGAGAGAGAGAGAGAGAGAGAAGGAGACCTGGATTTTGTTGGGCTTGAACCACAAGGACTATTCCTGAAGCTAAAGAAGCAACCAGTGCAAACGAGAAAGCTGTAATTGATCTTTCCATTGTCATGGAGCAGTGGAGATTGTGGAAGAGAGAAATGTGAGGAAGATATGCATGCACGCCTTGTATTTATAGCGTGAGCTCTCCGTACTACCAACTGACATCATCTTAATGGCTATGCACCAGTATTTCATTGGTAGTAACTATTCTTTGTTTCCTGCTATTCCTTTTGTGCACTTCATATTCACATGAAGGGAAAATTACCAAAAATGTCCTAAATTTATTGTAATTATATCAATTCAATCCTAAATTTTTTGTAATTATGCCAATCCAATCCTTGCCGGCCACTGTGGAAAATAAAAAAGAAAAGAAAGAAGAAAAAAAGGAAAAAGAAAAAGAAAATTTCGGAAAATATAAATTAATAATTCCACGTCAGTCTACCGGTACCGGCCCGATTGGAAAAATTGCAAAATGTTTATGACTGAATTGGAAAAAAAAGAATATTTATGACTGAATTGACACAATTGCAATAAATTTGAGACTTTTTGGGTAATTTTACCGTCATAGGATTGACTCGGGTTTAGACGATATTTATCGAAAATTATTTTCTGCTTCTTTTGAAAATACCAAGAGCATAGGAAGTAACACACGACCTCACGTGCTGCTCGTTCGCCCACGCATTACTCTCATCTTGATTTTTCTTCAGTTTATAATTGACCGAGTCATGGCTCAAATGCCAGAAGACCAAGACTTGCAGTCAGGTCTTCGTCTGCAAATGTATCAAAGTCTAAGAATCAAAAGAAACGTCAATAGACCGGTTTTGATTGACCACATTTCGTTCATTGTACATTCAAAACAATACATCACGTTATGCGCTAATTTTTTTTTACACACATCGTTATTACGATACACCGTGAAAACGATACAGTAAATAATGAGAAGGAAGAGTAATTAACAGGAGGATGAGTTTTGTTTGGCTCACAATTTCAGCATTTTGCATGGCCAGAAATAATCGGTCCACGACGATGTTTTCATGGTTGATAAGAATTTCTTGCTCTGAAATTTCGTTGCTGCCTCTATATCATTTGCAACGACCACCGATCGAACCATCGGTATCAACGAACCTAACCATGATTCGGACCGATTACCTTTGCTTGTCATGGGTGATAACTTTACGTGTATCATTACATCATGTCCACACTAATGGAAAAAGCCCCGAAAATGCTCATTCAACATAGAGGTAAGATATCGTGTAATTTTCAGGCTTTAGCAATACGGGAGTAATTCGTACTGACCCCTCATTGGATTTGTAATTCAACAATTTATGGTAATATATGGACATAGCTTTACGAATTAACCATTTTTTGTTTCTTCCCATTAATAGTGGAATCCATACTATAAATTATGGCAGTATGACCGGCTCGATCCTCCACACTTCTCTGGTGTAATTGTGGATTGTTCGATCACTTTTGAACTTGTACAATCCTACCAGGCTCAAGATCGACATTGTTCCATCAGTCACTAGGGCTCCGTTTGGTAATATTTCTTTTCTCAGGAATAATTTCTATTCAGAAATAGTTTTTTCTATTTCGATTCCTTGGACGGGTTTCTGAGCAAAAGAATGCGTTTGGAAACTGCACAAAATTTCTATTCATAAAATGGAAAAAGAATATAAATGTGTTTGGTATGACCCTAAAAATTTCTACTCTCAATTATTTTCATTTAATTATAAAAATTTCAGTGGAGACTTAACAATTCATATTTGGATAAAACTGAACTAAAAATAGAGTAAGAGCACATTATGATATCGAATTGGATGACCTTAATAGAATTTTAAAGAAAATTATTCCTTATAGACAAAGCAAATACCAGGTAGTGATCGAGGAAATTGCAGTTTAAGATTTATGTTTTTAGGGTTTAGGATTTAAGGTTTGGGAATTGGGGTTTGGGGTTTAGGGGTTTGGGATTTTAGGGTTTTAGTGTTTCGGGTCTTGAGATTTATGGTTTAGTGTTTTGATTTGGGATTTAGGGGTTTGGGATTATAGGGTTTTAGGGTTTCGGGTTTTGAGATTTATGGTTTAGTGTTTTGGTTTGGGGTTTTAGGGTTTTAGGATTTGGGTTTTGGGTTTAGGGATTTGGATTTTGGGGTTTGGGGTTTGGGGTTTTAGGTTTCGGGTTTGAGGTTTTGGGGTTTAGGGTTTGGGGTTTATGGTTTATGATTTTATGGTTTCAGGTTTTGGAACTTATGGTTTTAGGGTTTCGATTTTAGTGTTTAGAGTTTTAAGGTTTGGGATTTAGGGTTTGGAGTTTAGCATGGGAATATCTTATGAAAGAGATAGAGTTGATATTGTTTCTTTATTGTTTTTCATTATGTTCCCAGGAATAGAAAAGTAGATTGTTTTTACTTTTTATTTATGTTCAAAATCTATTCCCTAGCCATTTTTCTATTTCGGGGAATAGAAAAATTAACTGACATTACCAAACGGATTTATGTTCTTTTTATATTCTGGAGAACAAAATAACAGAAAAAATAGAGAAATGGAAGTGTTATCACACAGGCCCTAGGAGCAAGAAAGCTATTAATGAAGAATCTTATATAAGAAAGTTGAGACCCAAATGTTACAGGGCGATCGGAATATCTTGCTTATGAGGTGTTTTATTATAGATCAACTAGAAAGAGATTAAGGTAAAGAGAAATACACTAAAGCATAAATGATTTGAAATATATATATATATTTTAAAATGATCATCTATATTGCTTGCAAAAATAAATAAACAAAAAAATAATTTTATTGTCCACGAAAATATTTCGATATAAATTATTGTCGATAATGAAAAATTTTCCAATAATTTATTATTTCAAGTGATACAAGCGATTAATTTTAAAAAATGTTTGGAAAATCTTTCATTTTTTGTACAACAAAAGAAATCTAAAATTGCCATAACTTTCGTACGGTGCTTACTACAATGTCAAAACTTTTTGAGTGATCACTTGTGTAACACATCTGTCAAAACGATTACTTAAATGCCTCTAGTGACAAATTTCAATGATTTGTCCAATGTGACTTTTTTTTAATAAAATTTTAATTCCACACGACTTTCTTAACGAAAATTAATCCGGGAGGTGGCGCGAGATCTCGAGGAGAGCTATGACATGCTGGACCGAATTGGAAGGTGGGCAGCGAAGGTGTGGGTCAAATCCTGGAGGCGATGGTCACGAACAAATGTTTCATAGTTTAGATCTTCAGGACCATGATGCAGTCAATGGACAATATACGCGCCCAACAACTCCATCATCAGCAACCACAGGAAGCTTTACAAAATACCTCTCCGCTTGGTCCATTTCAAAAATTAGGTTGAACTAGGACACCGATGACTAAATATTTAATTTTTCTATGAAAAATAAAGGACAGAAACCAGCATAAACTGCAATTTCTTGGGGTGTTTTAGCATTTATAGAGTCCTACAAGATTATCCTCACTTGGAGGAAGATTTTTCACCCAAATCACACTTGCCCTCATCCCCCCTCTCTACGTCATCTTCCTCACCCAATCCAAGGTCTCGCAACTCCTCTTCTTCAATGACCTCAACTCTGCTTCTACTAGGGCTCTCGCTCACTATTCTGCAGGTAATCAGCTGCAATTTTAATAGTAATTTCAAGGGATTAGGGTTAGGGATTGCTTCTTTGCCCTAATTTAAACCCAACTTGTCAATTTTGGGCAAGAAGTAGGGCCAATGAGTTATTTTTTGCTGATTGGATTTCTCCGGCAAGCCATGTCAGCGGATATATAATAAATTAATGTTATGTCAAATTTCAGTAAAGAAAATTGCCAATGACACTTATGTAATCGTTTTTCTTTATTTTATTAAAATGGCGCTTAAGTGATCGCTAAAAAAGTTTTGATAATGAAGTGCGTATCATACGAAAGTTATAGCACTTCTTGTGTTCTTTCCCTGATGAAGGTATAACAGAGAGTAGTGAAGGGATACGTCACCACACAATCAAACATGAAATTATCTATCATCTTTAGCTTGCCGGGATGCTGTTATTTAACACGTAAGAGGAAATCACAAATTGAATTGCATCATCGTGATTGGGTGTTCACCTCTAACACTACTTATTTAGCATGGCGGCTGCGGTACACTTATCAACATATGAACAGTTACAACTTTAGCTAAAGATTCAAGCACGAGACTTATGTCTTCAATTAAAAAGTTTAGGAGGACGCGGAAGTTCTAAATAAATGAAAGCTTATGGAAGGTCTGGTCACCCTACATACTGTTCCAAAAAAGGGTAAAAGAAACTTAGGCTTATTTGTACCTCTTAGCATATACCATGTCTTGCAGCACATAAGCCAAGCTTCCAAAAGAAATAATCTGCGTAAACACGTAAGGCAGTGATCATTTGGGGCAAATATTACCTAAAACATCACAGGATCTCACCCATCTAATATGAGACTTGAGGCGTCACAGGGCAAGAGTTCAATTTCCACATATACCTTGCAAGGGGAATAGTATCCCCGTCAAATCCCAGAGCGGCCATTTCAATGAAGCCGCTTAATTTCATCTCACCATTTTCCACTCTTTGGCTGTGTTCGTTTGCGGAAAAATATTTTTCCGGAAAATATTTTCCGCGTTTTCCGGTGTTCGGGGGCGGAAAATGTTTTCCATGGGAAAACATTTTCCTTCCCCACCCCCAAATCCTTCATTGTTTTGAGGAAAATGATTTCCTCTTTTCACAAAGAGGAAATCAGTTTCCCCCAAATTGAAGGCAAAATTGCTCATAGGAGGGAAAATATTTTCCGTGGGAGAGGAAGTTGATTGCCGGTCACCACTGTTGGCCGCCGGTCGCTGGCCGCCGCCGCCGCGCCGCCGCCGCCGCCGCCGCCGCCGCCGACCGCCGCCGCCGGCCGCTGCCGCCGTCGCCGCCGCCGCCGCCGCCGTCGTCGCCGGCCGCGCACCGCCACCGCGGGTCGCCAGTGAAAAATATTTTCCGAAACTTTTTCCTATTGATCGCCGAACACCGGAAAATTATGTTCCGGGAAAACATTTTCCAGGAAAATGACTTCCGAAAAAATATTTTCCAAAAGGAGAATATTTTCCGCCAAACGAACGGAGCCAAAGGATTGCCAT